CATTAATTTCTGCTTGTCGTTGTGTGACTGCTCCAGTCCCTCTACCTTGTCTTCAAGCCCTAGGTTCTGTTCTCCCCTTCATCCACTTTACTGATGAGACTTCCCATGGAGCTTTTCACATGACTTACTGAATTTTTCATTTTTATTTTATTTTGTTTCCAGTATTTCTATCTCTTTATTCAAGTCAACTTTTCTATCTTATACTGACCTCCCCATTACACTTAGCAGTTTGACTTATTTTGAAATTAATTCATGAGCTTATTTTTTTCCATTTATATTTCTTGGAACAAACTTATAATCGTTCTTTCAAATTCTTCATCTAGGATTTCATCTAATTCACTCTCATTACTGTGGCATTAGTGATTTTTGTAAGTCATGCTGCCTTGATTTTTTTTGTTTTTGTTGTTAGTCTTGTATTTTCCCACCTGGACTTGTTCATCTAGGGTTAGGTTGTTAGCTTAATTTTATCTTTAATTATGTGTGTATGTGTGTTTGCGTGTGTATGTGCAGGTATGTACGTGTGAGTACAGGTGTCCATGGAAGCCAGAGGAGTCAGGTCCTCCTGGAGCTGGAGTTACAGGTAGTTGTGAGCCAACCATTGTGGGCTCTGTGAATCAAACTCAGGTCCTCTGCAGGAGCAGTACAGTTTCTTGACTACTGTGATAGCTCTCCAGCCCCCTTAGCTAAATTTTTTTGGTCTTCTTGAGGCAGGGTGTCCCTGTAGCCCCAGCTGGCCTGGCACTCACTATGTAGACCAGGCTGACCTTGATCTCACAGAGATGTCTCTGCCCCCCAAGTGCTGGGACTAAAGACGAGAGCCACCATGCCAGGCTTAGCTAGATTTTTTTTAAATCATCCTGTGTTAGTCACTTTTCTGGTGCTGTGATAGAAACATTGACCAAAAAAACTTATAAAAGGAAGAGTTTATTTGAGCTTACAGTTCTAGGGGAATTACAGTCCTTCTTGGCGGGGAGGCATGGTGGCAGAGGTGGCTGGAGGAGGAGCAGCAAAAGCTAAGCTCTACATCTTCCAGCAGGTACAGGAAACATCCAGAAAGCCTTAAGAACTCTCTAAGCCCACCCCCAGTGACATGCTTCCTCCAACATGGCCACACCTTCTAAAATCTCCCAAAATAGTGCCACCATCTGGGGACAAAATGTCTAAATACTTGGAGCCTATGGGGGACGTTTTCATTCAAACCACTACACACCCTTATTCTTTTTTAATTTATTCTTTTTGTATCAGGACTCAGGTTTGCTTTGCTCAGCAGGGAACCTTGCTTCAGGGGCAGAGAGACTGTATCGGCAACAAAATAACAACTCTGGGACTTGTGCCGTCCTTCATGGCAAGCTCTTTATTACAAAATTCAGAGGGTTTTTATACATTACAAGGAACTGGCCGTCACGTAGGATATGGCAGTCACATACAAAGATTTAGGGCACAGAGAAACAGGACATACATAGCCTTTTAGTTGGCGCCAGCAAGATGCTTAAACTTTTACTCAAGGTTACCAATGCCTATCCAGTAATTTATCGGCCATGATGTTTTCTTTCTTAGGGCTAAAAGCATGGTAAACTTTTAGCTTTTAGTTCAGGAGTAAACCTTTAACCTGCCTAATCGCTTAGCTAATGATAGCTGAGTTATTTGTTCAGGACAGAGAGATGAGCTAAGGGCTGTTAACCAAGATGCTTTCCCACAGAGCAGGGAGCCTAAACTTTTGACTTGGCTGCTTTTCTTGTTAGCCCTGCAGTGTTTTGCAAGACAGGGATATCAACGCTGCTGTTTTCAGCACCCCTCCCTTTAGCAGAGAATGTATCCTGGACTTAAAAAGTTTTAGGCTCACCTCACCCTAGGGTGTGCCGTCCTGGTTTCCTACATTTACGAACTTCAGTCATGTTTATAATGAAATACGATCATATCTACTCCCTAGTCCTCCTTCCAACTTCATGTCCTCCTCTCTCTTTTTAAATAACCCATTAAGTCCAACTAGTGCTGCCCTTAAGTGCATGGGTGTGGGGATCTCTATTGGAGTGTTGGCGTCTGCCAGTGGCCACACCCCCAAAGAAGAAAGATTCTCCCTCCCTCAGCAGCTATCAACTTCTAATATCTCCTCAGTTAAAGATGGGGCCTTGTGAGTTCCTGCTGGAACTTTGGTTGGCTTGATCTTGTGTAGGTCTTCTACAGGTTGCTTCTGCAAGTTCATGAATGCAACAGTCATGCCATGTGTAGATGTTTATGTCCATGCCATGTGGAGAAGACAGCATGTCACAGCACTTCTCTCTATGCTCTGACTCTCACATGCTTCCACCTCCTCGTCCACAATTTTCTATGAGGTTTAACAAGGTTGGAGAGTTGATAAAGATGATCCATTTAAGGCAGACCACTCACAGTCAATTATTATTAGCACTTTAATCAGTTATATCTCTATACTAGACTTCACCCCCTGCAAAAATAAATAAATAAATAAATAAATAAAAAGCTTCTCTGACAAAGGTTGAGAGTAGTCCAAGTTTATGGATATAAACAGAAATATTTAGAAGGCAATAGGGCAATATGACAACATGTCCATTCATCCTAGGGCCTATGACCACCCCAGCCATGGGCTTTTGACCAGGTTGTTTATAGTACCAGCCATGTATTCTCTCCTGTGGAGTAGGTCTCAGATCCAATGAAAAAAACATGCCACCATTTTTTACAATGGGTACACCTTGCCTAGAAGATCAGTATCCTCATCTTTCAGAAGAATTGTTTACAATGTTTGAGAGAGACTAGGTTTTAGAAGGGTTGCTGTGCTGGATAGCTTTAGTGTCAACTTGACACACCTGAGTTGAGGGAGCCTCAATTGGGGAATTTCCTTCATTGGACTGACCTGTGGCATGTCTGTGGGGCATCTTCTTGATTGTTGTGTGATGTGGGAGGGCCCAGCCCACTGTGGGTGGTGCCACCCTGGGCAGGTGGGCCTGTGTTGCATAAGAAAGTAGGCTGAGCAGAGGCCAGGTGCCATGCCTGTGCGGCACGAAGCTGATCTCTGAGCGGAGGACGTCAGGATTGAAGAGACAATCACACTTTTAGTGTAGCAGAAGAAGCCTTTATTTCTCAGCCCCAGGTTGCTTTTATACCCTAGCCCAGAAGGCAGCTGTCCCAACGGGGGCGGGGGAGCCTT